ATACAGTTGTCCAAGAACTCCAGAATTCCTGGCTCCCTCTCTTGCTAGCTGTTCCTCATCTGTAAAAATGAAGAAATAATGATCCTCCCCACATGGGGTTTGTTTGAGAATCTGAAGAATCAGTGTATGTAAAGTGCCTGGAATAGTGTCATTAGTCTTATAGTATAATTTTTTTTGTTTAGTTTTATTTGAATTAAAGCAACCAGAAATAATAGGAATCAGATTTATTACAAACATGACCAGTCTGTTCTTTCCCTCTTTGTCTGAGCCGGTCCACATTCTAAAATATCCTCTGCTCAGGGCCAGCAGATGGTGTACTAGTTACGTTGCTGGACTCTCACCTGGCCAACTGTGGTTCGAGTCTTGGACCTAGTGCCAGCAATTAATGTAATGGCTATGTCACTGAACTCCCATATAGTCGACCGCGGTTCGAGTCCTGGACCTAGTGGCTTCAACTCACACCAGGCACATGTGCGTGCATGCCCAAGATCCCAAGAGGAGAATGGAGGAGAAAGGACTGCGGCGTGGCCATCCCCCTGGAGGGTGATTTCTCGCGTTCTATCTCTCTGTTTCTCTTTGTCTTTCTGGCGAGTGCACGCACCCTATAGTGAAAACCCACCCACCCACCCCACCCCCAAAAAAGAAAATGACACCAGGCATGTGTGCATGTGTGCCTAAAAGAAAATCATGCCAGGCATGTGTGCATGTGTGCCCAAGATCCCAGGAGAAGAATGGAAGAAAAGGGATTGCAGCATGACCACCCCCCTTCACGAGTGTGGGGGTTGTTTTCTCACTTTCTCTCTCTCTGTCTCTTTCTCTTTCTCCAGCAAGTGCATGCACCCTATGGCAAAATGTCTAAAAAGTTTTGTTTTATATATAATTTTTAAAAAGGAAAGAAATATTCTCTGCTCTTCTTGTGTTCCTCAAATCATTTTCCCTCTTGCTTTACGTAAGGAAGGAACTTTGCTTTTCCTACCGAGAGAGCCAGTGGGGTCATGGGACCCTCATTTCATCCGAAATTTTTGTCCCTTAATCCTTATGTTTGTTAAGGATTTAGGGGTGGTGGAAGAAGGGAGGATATAGGGGTAAATCCCTGGAAAAAAAAAGGATGCAGATAGCAGTCTTTAGTATTTTTAAATTATGGCCTTTTAAAAAACATGCTAGGGTCAGGCGGTGACACAATGGGAACACAATTGAACCCAAATATGAAATGTCCTGGGTTCGCATCCCAGGATCTTCCTGAACACACATGTGCCTGTGATCCGGGCTGGCTGTGACCAGCTAGATTGCAGTGTGACAGCCTATTGTGCACATATAATGAGATATATTGGGAGTGGTACCTAAGTTTAAAGAAAAAATGCATTTGTTTCATATATATCTTATATATTAATATATAGCCTGAAGGGTTTTTCTTTTTTTTTTATGAGAAGTTTTGCTGTAGGACATCATTTACTTTGAAAAACAGTATGAATGGTCGTTTAAAATAGTGGGTTGTCAGAAAAATTCTGACACAATTTTGCATAGAAAAAATTTCATCATGACTTTTCTGGCAACTTAGTCATTGCATGGCCTCAAGCAAGTTTTTATTTTTTTATTTTTTTTAATTTATTTTATTTAATTTATTTACTTCTGTGAGAGGTTTTTGCTATAGGGCGCGTGCGCTTGCCAGACAGACAGAGAGAGACAGAGAGATAGAGAGAAATCACGCCCCAGGGGGGATGGCCACGCCGCAATCCCCTCTCCTCCATTCTCCTTTCGGGATCCTGGGCACGCACGCACACGCGCGCCCTGCATGAGTTCAAGCCACCGGGTCCAGGACTCGAACCGCGGTCGACTATGTGGGAGTCCAGCAACATAGCCATTATGCCAACTGCTGGTCCCTCAAGCAACTTTTTAAACATTTCATCCCCCGATCGTTAAAATGGGCATAATGCAGCAATAATAGAGTCACCGCAGGAGTAGATGACAAAGTACTTAGAGCCTTGCCCATCTGAGCACTCAGTAGGAATTGCTGTTATTGACTTTGTATGGTAATGACCATACAGAGTAAAATCAAAGATGCTATGGACTCATGCAAGGTTATTAATGCAAAATAACCGATGTAAACCAGGTCATTGGCTTGAATACCAGGTGTGAAGTGAGTATGTCCTTCTGCTTCCCTTCTTTGTAACCGCTTTTGCTCCAGCTTTGGTTTCCACAGTCACATAAAGTTCTATATTTAAACAAAGGCATGTCCTGGGTAGTTTGTGGAGGTGGGAGAACTAAGAAGATCTGGAGCTGTGGAATCCGACTACTGTGGGGTTAGCTTTAACTTTTGGCTTCTGTTTGAACTTGGGGGTGTGAGAAAATTGTTTTTTGGTGTTTGTCCATCTGGCTTAGATTTCTCTTTGTCCCTGGCCTTCAAAAATAGATAATAATTTGAATTCAATATGATCCAATTCGATGTCAGGAATTCCTAAGGCATGGGAGATAATTCAGCTATTTCCAGTCCTGATGTGTGCAGATCCATGGGCTTCCCAAATGGAATCGCACTGATGTGTCATATACTGGTTGCTGTGGTAGGACCCAGGTAGCTTTGACGAGAATATGCAGACGTGAAAAGCTGGACCAGCCAGTGGTATGGTGGTTAAGGTGGCTGGATTCCACCTGGTTAAATGTGTGGTCTGAGTCCTGGACAGAGCAGGTGGAAAAGCATTCCACGTGCCTGTGCATGCATGCCCAAAATCCCAGGAGGGAAAATGGAGGAGTTGGGACTGCAGTGTGACCGTCCCCGTGGAAGACTCTCTCTCTTCCTCTCTTTATCTTTCTCTCTCCCTGTCTCTTCTTCTCTCTATCTCCCTGTCTCTTCCTCTCTCTCTCTCTCTCTCTCTCTCTCTCTCTCTCTCTCTCTCTCTCTCTTTCTCTCTGAAAAGCGTAGGTGCCCTCCAGCAAATTTTTTTTAAAGAGGAGCTGGTGTTGGTCCAGTCTTGGAGTGCAGCAGTGACCTAATGAATCTGTAGTTCTAAAAGTCACCTGACTGCAGGTTTGGATACTGAGTCCACATGAAATAGGCCAGCCGTGTGCACGCCCAGGATCCTGACAACCTGGAGGGCTGGGGAAAGGAGATTGCAGTGGGATGAGACCCTGGGAAGGGTATCTCTCTTTCTCTAATAAAATAAATATTTTCTTTTAAAGAAAAATTGGTATTGAAAAAGCAGAGAGTACATGATTGTGTAAATCCTCTTCAGCCTAGCTCTCTGGATTTATGACACTGGTCATTTTATTATCAGCCAAGAAACCGTCTTCATTGGGGAGCCATTCAGAGAAGGAGGGAAAATGTCTCCTATATTTCAGTGTTTTCTACCTCTAAACAAAAACATCCTTGAAACATTTTTTAACTTTTAATTTTTTAAGAGATTTTTGCTATAGGGCATGCATACTCACCAGAGAGACAGAGACGGAAAGTGAGAAATCACACCCCAGGGAGATGGCCATGCCATAGTCCCTTCTCCTCCATTCTCCTCTCAGGATTTTTGGCATGCATTCACATGTGCCCGGCGTGAGTTTAAGCTGCCGGGGCCAGGACTTGAACCATGGTCAACTATGTGGGAGTCCAGTGGCATAACCATTACGCCATCTGCTAATCCCTTTTAAATTTTTTTAAAGAGGTTTTTCACTATAGGGCGTGTGCGCTCGCCAGACAGAGAGAGACATGGAGAAAGAAAGTGAGAAATCACCCCCCAGGGTGGATGGTCACACCGCAATCCCTTCTCCTCCATTCTCCTCTCAGGATCTTGGGCGTACATGCCCATGAACCCGGCATGAGTTTTAAGCCACCAGGTCCGGAACACAAACCACGGTCGACTATGTGGGAGTCCAGCGACATAGCCATTACGCTAACTGCTGGTTCCCTTAACTTTTAATTTTGAAATCATTTCAGACATCCAGGCAACTTGCAGAAATAACATAAAGAAATATGTCTACCCTTCACCCAGGTTTCCCCAATGTTAGCACTTAGCCACATCTGCTTCATCTCCTCCTTTCTCTCTGTTTACATATACACATACACTCTCCTTGTTTCTGAACCGTTTGAATGTTACAAACATAGGTCCCTTTACCCCTACATGCTTCCATGTCTATTTCCTAAGAAGCAAGGCCATTCTGTTTCATAACCACAGTACAATTATCAAACCCAGAAAATTAGCACTGATGCCATGTAAAAGCTATGACTTAACCTGAAGGCTTTATCCAAATCTCATCTAACATCCCACTGATACTTTTGATAGCAAAGGAAATAAAGAATTTTTGAGGCCCAGAATCCAATCCAAGATCACCTATTATATTAGTATTAATAGAATCTGTTTCCTCGGAGAATATCTTAAGGGATCTGGAACTCGCTCTATTGAAAAATCCTTTTCTTTCCTGTCAGCTGGACATTCAGTCAATGGACCAGGTCAAAAGAATGTCTTCAGGGTCAGCAATTAGCGTAATGGCTATGTCTATGAACTCCCATGTAGTCAACTGTGGTTTGAGTCCCGGACCTGGAGGCTTAAACTCACGCCGGACGCGTCTGCGTGCATGCCCAAGATCCCGAGAGGAGAATGGAGGAGAAGGGATTGCAACGTGGCCATCCCCCCAGGGGGTGATTTCTTGGTTTCTATCTCTCTGTCTCTCTCTGTCTCTGGCGAGCGCATGCGCCCTATAGCAAAAACTTCTCCAAAAAGAGTGTCTTCTAGAATGCCTGTACTTTTGGGGAGGAAGAGAGCATGAAAATAGTTAACACCAGTATTTTTAATTGTGTTGATTGTGTGTGAGAGAGACTGTAAGACTTTTTGGGGACAAGGTTCACTCATCTTGGCTTCACAGGAGAACATATGGGAGTGTGAGCCCTGGTGCTGCCAGGGAGTGTTGGTTGGCCGGGTGTGAAGGTGCATGGCCTTGCCGCCGGCTGCGCCGAGCACACACACATTGCGCGTCTTCCGTCCTCAGACAGTGCTTACATGGTGCGCTTCCTTTGGCAGATGTGGTGTTGGAAAAAGCCATGCACAAATGCATCCTGAAGCCCCTGAAGGGGCACGTGGAGGCCATGTTGAAGGACTTCCATATGGCCGATGGCTCCTGGAAACAGCTCAAGGAGAACCTGCAGCTCGTGCGGCAGAGGAATCCACAGGAGCTGGGGGTCTTCGCTCCGACCCCTGATTTTGTGGACGTGGAGAAGATCAAAGTCAAGTTCATGACCATGCAGAAGATGTATTCACCGGAAAAGAAAGTCATGCTGCTGCTGAGGGTCTGCAAACTCATTTATACGGTCATGGAGAACAACTCAGGTGAGTCTGCTCCTGGGCTAGCCATGGGCCAGGTCCAGCTCAGGCTTTCTGATTCCCTATTTCTTCCTTCAGTCTCTCGATTTCATGGTTTGCCAAAATACACATGTGTCTCTGGTATCTGGCGAACTAGTCACACGCAACAGATTATTATAATAGCACCAAAATAATATAAGCGGATAAGGGCAGCAAGATTTTTGTACAATGCTGGTCTGATTAAAGACTGAATTCAGGGTAGTGGTTATGAGTTCAGTCTCTGGGGTCTGAGTTCCAGTGCTCCCTCTGTGACTGAGTTAACAAACTGAGGGACTGGCCAACTTCATCCACGCTGCAGTTTCTGCATCTGTAGTTGGCTACACTCCTTTCCTTCATAAAGCAGCCCCAAGTGCAATGGAACTGTTAGTGATTCTCATGACTACGTTCTGGCCAGCAAGGTTCGGTGATCTAGAGCGTGTGTCAGAAACTCGGAGTATCCTGTAATAATGAGGCTTGGTCAGAGCCAGCTCCATGGCTTGACCCTCTTTGCTGCCTCCTGAAGCGTTGCCATTGGGACTCACCAGATAGTTGCACAGTTGGAACATAAGCCCTTGGATTTCCCCTTCGTGTTTCTCATAGATACAGGAGTAGACATGATTCGTGGATTCGATTGAGCCTCACATTGTTCCAGGTTCGCCATGAGCTTGTGATTCCATGGACGGCTACCAGCGTTGCCTCTGGGTGAAATGGCTCAGTGGAGAAGCCACCGGGAGGAAACACAGGCTCTGTTAACGGTGGCTTGAGTGGACGGGAATGTGTATATGTTTTACACTTTGAGTGAGGACGTTAACATCTGAGCTCTGGGGCTCTGATAGCATTGACAAAATGGGCAAGCAGATTTCACGTCCAAAGAAAATGTATTTTCTATAGTTTATGAAATCGTTTTTAAAATTCCCAAAATAATTCCTGTGTAGGATTCTGTTCTTCTGAAGCAGTTTTTCAGTCTACACACTAATGACATTTTTGACAGGATCATTCCTCCTTGTGGGGGCTGTCCTGCTTCCTGCAGGTTGTTCAGGAGCATCCTGGATGCCATTTGCACCTCCTCTCTCTAGCTGTGACCACACAAAGTGTCTTTGGACAGTGCCAAATGTTCTCTGGGGCGGTCACGTTAGCCCCAATTAAGAGCCCTACTGTAAAGAAAACTGGAACAGAAGACTAAATATTTCTGCCATATATTGTTAATTAATCGATGTGTATGTTCGACATATTCTGAATTGGCACATTGAGATAAATTATCTGTACAGAGCCAAGTCTGCCCCTGGTTTGGTCCTGTCATGGTGTCTCAGATTAACGTACACAGAAAGTGGTAGGAAACAAGACACCAAGAATGAGCCTAAGTAAATACTTTCTAAGTATTTTATATTCTTATTTGCTGAAAGTTAAAAGTGTTCTCTTCTATGGAGTTATTTTATGCAAATCATAAAAGCAGAGAGAAAAACCCGTGATGTGGTCTTTGATTCATAGACATTTACTCTAAAATGATGAGTAAGGGCTGGTCTCTGACATTCGCAGCTGGGAGGGTCAGAGAATTCCAGAAACACCCACCCTGTTTATAAATAACACAAGTCCCCAGAATGACTCTTTGCTTTCTAATAAAAGCAGCAAGTCGGATATGAAAGGAAAACAAAAATGTTGTTAAAAATAGTCCCATCTTCCTCTTTGTTCCTCACTCCAGGGAGAATGTATGGCGCCGACGACTTCTTGCCCGTTCTCACCTATGTCATAGCTCAGTGCGACATGCTTGAATTGGACACCGAAATCGAGTACATGATGGAGCTCCTGGACCCATCACTGTTACATGGGGAAGGTAATAGGCTTTTGAAAAAGCTGGGGAAGGGAGTAGTGTGTAGCATAGTGGTTAAGGTGCTGGATCCCAGCTGGCCAACTGCGGTTTGAGTCTTGGACCCAATGGCTTGAAAATTACACCAGGCACGCATGCATGCATGCCCAAAAGAGGAGGAGGGATTGCAGCATGGCCATCACCCTGGGGGGTGATTTTTCACATATACACACACACACACCCCACCACCATCACCAGTCTTTCTCCAGCAAGCACATGAATCTGTGGTAGAAACTAAAAAAGGAAAAAATAGAAAAACTTGGGGGAATGGTGCCTCTTTTTTTTTTTTTGGCTTTGTTTTTTTCTTTTTTTAATTGAAGTAAAATTAATGTAACGTAAAATGAACCATTTTAACATGATTAATTCAGTGGCATTTAGTACTTTTGCAATGTGGTACAGCTACCATCTCCACTGTCTAGCCTCAGAATATTTTCTTCACCCCAAAGTAAAACCCTGCACCCATTAAGCAGTTACTTAAGTGCTTTTTGACATCTTAAGGGTTAAATCCAGTTTAATATTTTTTTTAATTTGAAAGAGTGTACTGTCTTTTTTATGATTAGAAATGTACTTCCTGTTTTTTGGGGCCAGCAGGTGGTATGGTGGTTAAGGGTGCTGGACTCCCACATGGCCAACTGAGGTTTGAGTCCTGGACCTGGTGGCTTGCTTTCTCACTTTCTCTCTCTCTCTCTCTCTCTCACTCTGTCCCTTTCTGGTCAAATTAAAACATAAGTAAATGAATAATTAAATAAATACAGTTAAATAAAATAATTCTTTGAAAAAAAAGAAAAGTAATACATGTTCACCATAAAAAAATGGAAAAAGTCAGAAAACCACCAAGAGAAAGTGTAATTCTGACATAATTATAGTTCACTGAGATTGCCTAATGGCAATAAAAGATGCCATTCAATAGGATAAATGTCATGTTTAAAAAGAAATGGTTTCTTTGATTCCCTGAGAAAGTTATAAACTTTTGTTAGAGAGTATCTCCATTGCCAAAAATAATAATATTAGTAGCCTGTTTTCATGGAAATGGATGAAGAAAACTTGGCTTTGGTTTTTTGTTGTTGTTGTTTTTTGCTTAAACTTTGTTTTCAAAGTGAAAGCAGCATTATTTATTTTTCCAATTTAAAAAAGTAGTGTCTGAAAAAAAAATAGAGCCTGCTCATTGTGAAAATAAAAATACAGTGGAGTTGGGCCAGCGGGTGGTGGGTGGTTAAGATGGCTGGATATCACACGACTCTGCAGTTCAAGTCCCAGACATGGCAGCAGGTGTTTGTGCTTGTGTCTCCAAAATCCCAAGTGGAGAATGGAAGAGAAGGGATTGCAGTGTGACCATCACTCTTGGAGGGTGCTTTCTCACTCTCTCTCTTTCTTACTTTCTCTCTCTCCTTCTCTTTTTCTCAGTCCAGCAAGTGTGCAGACCCATAACCAAAAAAAAAAAACAAAACCAAAAAACCATGGTGGAGTGAAACCTGGGTGGAGTGTTCCCAGTTCACCTGGTGGTTCCGGAGCCTGCCCGTGTCTGCCTAACCCCAGCGTGTCCTGGCAGGGAAGCATGCTGCTCACACCTCGGTGTGGGTTTGTGTCATGGCCATAATGTGCATGTTTGGGGCTGTAGTGCACAGTCTGGAAACAACTGGGACTCTGATGTGAGTTGTCTTTTTAATGGCGAACAAATCAGGGCCTGTGTGTTGTGAATCCCATTAATCCGTTTTCCTATATCCCAGACAGACCCTGAGGGCGATATGAGTATTTTTGTTTTCTTTTCTCCTGTGAGTTTCAGTTTGGGTTTGAATAAGTAAGTCCACCTGCTTGCGAGATTCCCTAGGGAATGCGTCATCCTGGGATTTTCCCTGCAGGGAACTTGTGACCCCAGGCTGTGTCCCTTAGTCTGCTCGGTCCTCCAAGAAAATTAGGCAGCCCTTGGTTTTCCTGTCAGAGGGGCTGGCCTCCCCCGACCCCCAAGTTATGCCTTTCCCGCTCTACAGCGCGTGTGGACTCAGGATTAGTGACTGTCTTTCATCCTGTCTGTCCCCCTCCCCGGGCAGGCGTGAATGGGCCTCTGTCGTCCTTTTACCGTCTTGTCCATTTATGTCCCCTCATTAATATTCCTGACTAAGGAACTAGACACTCCTTGAGGATCCCCCGAGACCCTCCCTGCTCTTTCCTTGCCTGCTCTGTCTGGGAATCGGGGGAAGAGAATCATGTTAGTCTCCATGCCTGCTCTCCTTTGTTCTACCACATTATTATTACAATTTGACACAGCCCTCGGCAGGGTCCTGATGCTGAGATCACTCCCCAGCCTCGGCCAGGCTGGGTCTTGGGCACAACATGCCCTTCTCTCGGGGAAGTCTCTGACCCTGAACTGACAAACTTCCCATGTGAGCCTGCCCCACAGACCGTTGTGTCTTACCACTGTGCCACCGTATGGCCCCTTTTTCCCTTTGCTCTTCAATCACATTTAATTCTAAAACTCTTGGGTTTCGGGCACGGGCATGGCAGTTCTTCTCAAATCTCCATTCTGGGAGGCTAGAGGGTGGCACAGTACAGTAGTGCTCTGTGAAGCTGGCCCACTGGGGACTTCCTGGCTGGGGTCAGAGACCTCCCTGAGTGTGCAGAGCACACACCATGCCCAGGTCTGGGCTGGGTGAAGCCTAGGGGTGGGTCACAGTGTGCCTTGTCAGGAATGCTGTCTCTTTGTCACTGTCTCCCTGCTCATGGCAGAAGTAAACAGACAAAAAAAAAAATGATGTTCCTTGGGCCAGCCGATGGCCTGGTAGTTAAGGCAGCTGGATGATTCAAGTCCTCCATCTAAGCAGTAGTTTGAGAAACACATCACACATGGGCAGCACACCCTAAACCCCAAGCAGAGAATGAAGAGGGGATTACCACATGGCCATCCCCCCAGGGGATGCTTTCTCACAACTAGCCCCCCACCCCCCCAGTCTGTCTGGCAAATGCATGTGCCCTGTAGCAATTATTTTTTAAAATACAGAAGAAAGAAGACCCCATTCTGTTGCCCTGGATGTGTACTTAGCACAAATGTGCACTTACATCCGGTGGGGAGGATAAGCAGCCATTTCCTGTCCCCTTTGCGACTGTGCCCCAGGGCAAGGCACTATGTTGAGGGCCAATGGGCACTGCAGTCTTCCCACAGAATCCCACCTGAAGGACGAGGGCATGCCAGCCAGCGCGTGAAGCGGGGGGGGGGGGTCGTGCTCAAACTTGGCGGGCTCTCACTTTGCTGTGTCCTTGACTTCCTGGCTTCCTTGGAGAAGAGGCTCCCCTGGGTTGGCCCTGGTTTCAGCCCGGCCTGCACAGGGTCACACAGAAGCTCCGCAGGATCAGAGGAAGCGGCTGCACCACGCATCACTCATCAGACTCTCCCGCAGCCTGGCCAAGCCCTGTTTGGTTTGCCCTGCAGCAGCCAGGTCTCTTTTCTGCTGCTTAAGCATGTATTCTCGTTTACGGAAAAGGCCTTAGAATCCCTTGGAAGCACACAGCTCTTGTGGTAGGGCTCTAGTTTTGCTGACATTAAAACCTTCCTCTAATTGCTTCCACGTGTCTCAAAATGCTTCCAGTGTTTTGAGTTCTGTCCTTAGTGGCCTGAACAGGTCAGAGCGATGGAGTCGAAAAATTGAAACCCAAACGTGCTCCTGCCATCCCCTTAAGGACCATAACAGTCCTTCAAGGCCTCTCTCAAACACTGCCACCTCCCACAGCCCGCCAGAAACTCTTGGTTCCTATGGATTTCCCCTGCGGTCCTCTGGGTAGCATTTATATCCTGCACTGTGGAGTCTCACACTCAGTCATGGGCCACGAATTTTGAAGAGATCAAATCTCAAAACTGGTCTCTGGATGAGGCTGTGTCCTGGGCTGCTGGCTTCCTTCTGTGGAAGAGCAGGTGACTTCTTGGGGTTGGCTGTGGTTAGTGACATCATGCAAGGCTGACCTGCGTGGGAAGGTTCCAGGTTTGCATCCAGAGACCTCCCTGACTCCAGTAGGCACATGTTTGCCAGTGATCGGGGCAGTCTGAGGCAGGGTGTGGATCATGGCATCAAGATCCTTTTGGGGATGCTCTCTCTCTCTCTTTCTCTCTCTCTTTCAAGAAATGAACAAATACATTTTTTTAAAAGCCTCTGGACTAGGCATGGTGAGGGCTGCCACAGGGAACCTATACCATAGGCCACAGGGTGAAGAAAATGCTTCAGATTCCCCTGTATGGTGAAACTGGACATGTGATAGCAGTCTGGAAAGTGATTTTCTTTCTGGAGCTCGCGTCCAGTGCAGGTTCTCAGGGCCTGCAGCTCATCCAGTTAAAGGGGGCAGTTGCATCTTGCATGGTGACCCTTGTTATCCAGAGACGGCTCTGCCAGGTCTTTCACGAACCCTTCAGTACTATGTCCGTGAATGGCCTCTGCTCAAAACTCATTTAACCACAGCTAACTTCTGCTTCCTGCACCATTGAACTGCCAGTGTCTGTTTTCTTTAATCCACTTTATAAACTTCTGAAGAGCAAGGACTCAAATTCTATTTCTTACAAACCTACTTCCTGCTCTGTACCTGGCTTGCTTGGTACACTCTGATGGTACAGAGTCATTTGATCCAATGGGTATTTTGACCAAGAATGTCTCTAAATTTAAAATATACCGTACTCAATTAGGTAATTTTAAAAAGTAATAATTCAGGTTGCCCCCTAGTGATTCTCTAGCACAGAGATTAAAAGTTCATGGGCAGGCACCTAACTTTATTTCATTATAAAACAAAAATATGAACAAATACATGTGCATTTTACAGTGTCAAAGGTCTACTAACACTCTCCAAGAACACAAGCTATCAATTCTAAATGTACCATTGCTTGCCTGCCCTTGAACGTTAGTTTTTCCTAAATGTTATGTTAGTCCCAATGTGACAATAGAAAGGGAATCAAGAAAGGAGAGGCTTTGGGACCAGCAGTTAGCATAATGGCTATGTCGCTATACTCCCATGTAGTCGACCACGGTTCGAGTCTCGGTCCCAGCGGCTTGAACTCATGCCAGGTGCGTGTGTGTGCGTGCCCGAGATCCCCAGAGGAGAATGGAGGAGAAGGAATTGTGGTGTGGCCATCCTCCCTGGGGGATGATTTCTTGCTTTCTGTCTCTCTCTGTCTTTCTGGCAAGCGCATGCACCCTATAGCAAAAACCTCTCAAAAACAAAAAACAAACAAAAAAAAAACAGCAAAAAGAAAGAGGCTATTTCGAAGGGCCTCTAGTTTTGTGAACACACTTGTACATGCTGCAATTCTTTCAAAGTGTCCTTAACGTTGAGAAAATATTAGGTTGTTGGAAAAGTCATGATGTATTTTTGCATAGAAAAAACAGAACAAAATTGCATCATGACTTTTCCAACCACCCAGTAGACCAGCCATGGTTATGCTGCAGTAACACCATGCAGACAGGTTCTGGGCTGGCCTCCTGAGGGCTCTCTGTGTGTGCTAGGTGTGCGTGCAATTGGTGATCTCGGCCTACCGAGGCTGCTGGGGAGTCACACCAGGTTGTGGGTGCCCCCCTCCCTCTCTCAGACAAGAAACAAACTTTTTTAAAACAAAATATCACCTTATAAAAGAACAAGTATTGCCAAGGACCCATGGGCTAACTAATGCCAGCCTGGAGAGCTTGGCCCTGCTCCCCTCACATGCCTGACAGCGGCCCACCTCCCCTCCTGGGCCTCAGCACCCTGACCTTTTCTGGCAAACCAGTTTCACAACTGCATGTTAGTAATTGAGAGGGTTTGCCTGTCCCGCCCTCTCAAATGGAAATCCCATCAGTAAAACAGGATGGCTGTCTGCCGGGGTCGTCATCCTGCCCCGGCCCTGACGGACCCACCAGACCGGCCTCTCTGTAACTGTGGGGTGGAGGTGGGGGCCATGGGTGAAGGAGTACATGACCGCTTCTGGGGTCCCACCAGGAGATGTGTGAGGAAGGAACTGAGAACAGCCGCAGTGGCTCCAGGGCTGTGTACCTCACTGCTGTCACCAGGGGATGACTCGTTTGGAGACCTCACTCTCTGCTCTTTCCAGGAGGCTATTACCTGACAAGCGCCTACGGAGCACTTTCTCTGATCAAGAATTTCCAGGAAGAACAAGCGGCTCGGCTGCTCAGCTCAGAGACCAGAGACACCCTGAGGCAATGGCACAAACGGAGAACCACCAACCGGACCATCCCTTCCGTGGATGACTTTCAGGTGAGCTCAGGCACCCGCACCCAGAGATGCAGAGGGGCTCTCCTCATACCTCCAGCTCGTGCCCCAGGGCTCCCGGGGATATCTGAAACCATACTCTGACCTTGTTGTTTCATGTCTCTGTTTTCTTTAAAACACGATTTTCAGGATACTAGTTGAAGACATTTGCAGACCTACTCATAATTTCATAGACTATGAGCAAATCAGAAATTGTGTTGGGGAAAGGTTTCTGTAGCCCTAACCTGCCTGTCTCACAGGGAACCCCATATTCCTGGGCACCACCTCATGAAAACTCCAGCCTGGGAATTAGGGGGAGAGAGAAAGAGAGATTGTATGTGTGTGTGTGTGTGAGAGAGAGAGACACATATTATATACATGTGCACACATATATATGGGTGTATCAAGGGCACTTCACAAAGTTCATGGAAAGAATTCAATTAAAGCAGGAGTCTGTTTTGGAGAAAAAAATGTAAAATTTATGCCTAATTTTTTTTTCTAAGAATTTTACTTTATTTAACTTCATTTATTTTAATTTTACCAGAGAGGAACAAAGTGAGAAAGAGAAGGAAAGTGAGAAAGCAAGCCGCCAGGTCCAGGACTCGAACCATGGTCCGCCGTGTGGGAGGCCAGCGCCCTTAACCACCACACCACCTGCCAGCCCTGTGTTTTAGTAATATGTATTTTCCATGAACTTTTTGAAGACCCCACCATATAGATATGTGTGTGTGTATAAAATATATACATATGGGGGGGGGGTCTTTTTAAAGTTCATGGAAAAATGCATTATATGAAAAGTACTATTTCAAGAAATTTACACTCGTACTTCAGTTCCATTTTTCCATGAAGTTTTGAAGCCCCCTTATATGTGTTTGGTTCAAGTCTTGCTGCTTTGAAGAAAACCAAACCAGGCCAGCCTGTGGCATGGTGGATCCTGCGGCTGGATCCCACGTAACCCCCTGCTGAGTTGGAGTCCCGGACCCAGCAGCTTGGGAAACACTGGGCACGTGTGCATGTGTGCTGAAAATCCCAAAAGAAGAAATGGAGGGCAGGGATTGTAGCGTGACCATCCCCCATGGAGGGTGCTTTCTCATTTCCTTCTTTCTCTCTCTCTGTCTCTCTGTCGCTCTCTGGCAAGTGCACACCCTCTAGCAAATTTAAAAAGAAAAAGAAAACCGAATCAAATGAAGCCAGGATTTCTCCCAGGACATCCGGCTTAGATGCGGAGTGTTTGAGCAGACAGGAAGTCAGAAAGGAGGAGGAAGTTGGCACCAGTGTTGGGTATTTTATTTCATCAGGAAGTCACCGCCTTGTGCCTGTAATTGGCCTTGGTCTCTCTTTGGGAAGAGAGAGAGATACCGTGATGCCCTTCTTCCCCTCCTTCCCTTTTTTCTCCTCCACTTCCCTAAACAGAAGACCCCCCACACACACACACCTGAATCTGAGCCACAGCATAGTTCCGGGAGCCAGTCAGAGCCCAGGTGTGAGAACGACCATCTGAGCAAGCCTGGGTCAGGCTCCCAGCCAGAATGTCCGTGACGGTGAGCTGGTGCCCAGGAACGTGGGATTCCCGGTGGGCCCGCTTCTTAGACAGGAGTGGCAGGTTAGGACCACAGGAAGCTTGACCCAACACCATCCCTGCTGTGCCTCTGAAATTACGAGGACGTCTGCAAATGTCTTTGAATATTATATTGAAGGTCTCAATCAGATTGTTAAGCTGGAGCATGCTTTGTCACCACGTGCCACACAGTGAGTTTCACAGCAGGGAACTGAAAATGGAAAGGAAGACAGATGTGTCTCTGTGTCTGGAGTCACCTTCCTTGCCTCTCCCCACCCCCAATACTGTGAAAATAATCAAAAGATACACTGGGTTCAAATCAGCCTGTCATTTGAAAGACGTGATCTATACACTCTTTTCCAAGACTGCGGTGTTCTCAGACATTCGTCCGCGGGCCCATAAATCAAGAGTAAGGGCCCATGCTGTGTGCTCCTCATCAGCTAGTCGTCTCGGAGCGTTAAGTGACTCAGTAGAAACAGGCCCCGGGACACTGTCACACCAGCTGTCCAAGCAGGGAGTTCCTGAGGTGAGCTCCCTCTGTGGAGAGGAACAAGGAAATGGAAAAGTGCATTCTTCCATCTCTCTACCTGCCACTAGACCTTGTTCCTGTCACCTCTCCATCTGGAGCTGTCACCTGTCCATCTGGAGCTCCCATCCTGGGCACTTTCAAACACCACCAGCCCCTTCCTTCTGCACACCACCCTTCCCCTGCCCCATGGCCTTGCTCACCTTGGAGAGTCATACCTTCTCCAAGGACGAGAGGAATATGCAGCACTCAGGTCAAGGATAAAAGCAAAACCTCAGATGCAGAAGTTCTGCCTGGAGCCTTAAGTCAGAGGCACGTGTCTGCTCACTTGGAAGAGGCGGTATACCACGGTGGTAAAGGCAGTGAGACTGGCTCTTCTGTTTACCAGCTGCTGTTTACCCTGGGCGATTTACGTAGCTTCTCTGTGCCTCAGTATCTTCACTGGTCAAATGGGCATCATGTAAGGTCCTTTGTAGATTTCTCCTCCAGAGTCGCTAAGTAACTACATACAATGTATTGGAGCTATGTATTGAGTGTGAGATGCGGGTGTGTGGTCTAATAGCTCATGTGCACACTCTAAAGGTGTTCAAATCCAAGTGTGTCAGCCTGTGTTCCAGGGCTGCAGTCACCAGGCTGACACATGTCCTCACCAGAAACAGATACGAAATGTGTCTCACAGGTGCAGAGCACGCTGTCCTTCCTGAGAGCACTTTTGGTCCCTACAAACCATCGTGGTGACCATGTGGGAACCTGGGTACTTTCCTTTACTCCTGAGCAGAGTTGCCAAGTTAAATAAAGAAAATATATCTGTTTTCTAGATGAAACTCAAGTTAAACTGGGTGTTCTCTATCTTATCTTAGTCCCACTCTTTGTTTGTTTGTTTTTGTTTTTTTTTTTTTTTGAGAGGTTTTTGCTATAGGGTGCGTGCGCTCACCAGAAAGACACAGAGAGACAGAGAGACAGAAAGCGAGAAATCACCCCCCAGGCGGGATGGTCATGCCGCAATCCCTTCTCCTCCATTCTCCTCTCGGGATCTTGGGCACACACGCACACACACCCAGCACAAGTTTAAGCCACCAGGTCCAGGACTTGAGCCACGGTTGACTACATGGGAGTTCAGCAACATAGCCATTACGCCAACTGCTGGTCCCTCCTAGTCCCACTCTTAAGGAAATGAAAATGAAAGTCTCGGGAACCAGCAGTTGGCGTAATGGCTATGTCACTGGACTCCCACGTAGTCGACCGCGGTTCGTGTCCCGGACCCGGTGGCTTAAAACTCACGCCGGGCGCGTGTGCGTGCGTGCCCAAGATCCCAAGAGGAGAATGGAGGAGAAGGGATTGCGGCGTGACCATCCCCCCTGGGGGGTGATTTCTCGCTTTCTGTCTCTATGTCTCTCTCTGTCTGTCTGGCGAGCGCACGCGCCCTACAGTGAAAAATCTCTCCAAAAAAAAAAAAAAAAATGAAAGTCTCTGGTGTCATAAAATCTAGGAGAGCCTGGTACAAGTTTAGAGTTCTCTTGCTTTGTCTGGGCCTTGTGTTGCTTGAAACCACAGATATACTGTATTTAAGGATTTTTGCTATAGGTTGTGTGTGCACTCACCAGAGAGAGACAGAGACAGTAAGAGGGAAAGCAAAAAAATCATTCCTAGTGGGGATGGCCATGCCACAATCCCTTCTCTTCCATTTGCCTCCTGAGGCTTTCAGCGTGCACGTACATGTGCCCAGCGTGATTTTTCAAGCCACTGGGACCAGGACTCGAACTGCGTTCAGCCATGTGGGAGTCCTGTGCCTTGACTGCTGGCTAACTGCTGGCCCTTGTTTATTGTATTTTATGACAGCACACACCTGGCTCTGTGCGCAGCTCCAAGCCTGCAACTGTCTCCTTTAACTTTCCCTGCAGTACTGCTTTGCACTTACTCAGCCCACCTCCAAAGTCTTTTGGCAGAACCTCCGCTATCCGCCTTCTGCCTTGTTCCACATGACACCAGAGTTACTTGGAGCCTTGCAGTGGGCTGAACCACATGAGATCACCCTTAGGGGAGATCAGAATGGTCCCATATCAGCAGTTTCTTAGGATTCCGTGTGACACTGCTGCCCTTGCTTAGGCTTCATAAAAACGTGTGTCGTCAAGAGTGAGCTCTGTGATGTTGTGTCTAGATATTTTAA